GTTTCTCCCCGAGGACAAACCTCGGGATTTTGCAGGACCATTTGAAGAAGAATCGACTCGAAGCAGGAACTCAAGGATATTCAGCAACAACATTGGCGCCGTCTGTGGGAAACGAACAAAAGTCATCACCAGAAGTTAAGATGGTACACACACGAGCAACCCAGCGTGAGAGTCCTCCCGAGGCCAAGGAAGAGGCCAGCCCCCAAGCGTCAACCCCGGGTCACAGAGTGCACCGGTTGCAGCCCCCCAACATCAGCAGACAGAGGGAGTTGGGGAACATAATCCACAATATCCCAACGCCGTAGCAAGCGACCCTATGACCGCTCAACTCAATGCCATGCAACAACAATTCGGGGTCTTCTAGCTAGTACTTGCCCAGCTGTTGGCCAGAGATAACCCCGCTGACCCACTTATTCACTTATTGGACCCAGCTCCCCCCGTGGCTCCCGAACCAGTTCAACAGCCTGCCAACTCCCCGGTCCGCAGTGCCGCCCCAAACGCTTCTCAAGCACAATCTCACATGCTACCCCAGCCACAAAACCCGCCTCAACCAGCTGCCTCAGATGTGTCAAAGAGGCTAGATAACCTAGAAAAGCTGCTAGCCGAGAACAAAAATCCACAACCGCAGACCCCACCTGTATCAACCTCCATCCCCACTCCCCTCAGTATCAAAATCACCCAAGAGCCATATCCACCCGGTTTCAGGATGCCGCAGTTTGAAACATATGACGGCACTAAAGACCCTGATGACCACTTACATGCATTTTTCTCCATCATGCAGGCTCAAAACGCCTCAGACGCACTTATGTGCAAGATGTTCCCCTCCACATTGCGTAGCAATGCCCGGACCTGGTATCACACCCTGCGTCCGAACTCGATTAATGCGTATGCCGAGCTGGCCACCCTCTTTGCCACCAAATTCTCAAGCAGAAGGTTGATCAAAAAGACGACACCCGACCTCATGCGCATAACGCAAAGAGAAGGCGAATCCTTGAAGAACTATATGAACAGGTTCAACGACGCCATGTTGGAGGTCAATGCCTTCGATGAAGCAGTGGGAGTAACTGCCATGATGCAAGGCCTCAACCATGATCGGTTTCGGGATAACTTAATCAAGAACACCCCAACCACTTTTGACAAAGTCAACCAGAGATCCCTCAAGTTCATTAAGGCTGAAGAGTACGTCCTCTCCAAACCCCAGCCCCCCAAAGAAGCTAGAACCCCCACCTGGAGAGACGAAAGCCAGAGCAGGAAGAAGTTCAAACCCACACAGAACCGAGGCCCAATTCCGGTTCCTAAGCTAGATAGGCCCGGCTCCAGCACCCCGCAAACGCGGCCTACGCCGCCCTCATGGACCTCCTTCACAATTCCGAGGTCGCAAATTCTCATGCAAATCAAGAATAAGATGGAGATGAGGAGACCAAACCCCCTACAGA